CTCTGCATTGACAGTTCGCTGTGGATTGTGGAGTTCGAAATAAATAACTCCTTTGATGTCCCACCAAATACAAAGCATCACTATATGTGGGTGGAGTCTAGGTTTTGGGGTCAGAAGTGTTTTTGTCTAGGACTGAACCATTGTTTTTGGCATTTAATATTTGCATAGAGAATCCATTTTTCATCACCGGTGACAATTCTGTCCAAAAATGGTTCACGCACATAACGAGCCATAAGAGACGAAGAAACGTTCACACGTTGGAAACGATGATCATTAGAGAGTTCATGAGACACCTTCTTTATGGAGTTTTCTCATATTCCTTAGATGTTTACGTATTGTTTCGTGAAAGACATGCAATTTCAGGGCCATCTCACGAGTGTGTTGCCTTGGGTTAGACTCAACAAGCATCTTCAGAGCATCAATATCAATTCTAACATGTCGGCCCCTGCCATCACAGTTTTTAAGGCTAAAGTCACCTGAACGAAATTTGCTAAACCATCCTTGACACTTACGAACGTTCAAAACATTTCCATAAACTTCTTTGAGATTCTTTGTGGCTGCAGAGGCATTGTTTCCCCTCTTGTATTCAAACAGCATTACATGCCGAATGTGTGTCTCGTCCTGGGCCATCATATAAGGGATTAGAGTATACTAAACTCTACACATTATATAGTTTACACTAACGTGACGTTTAGGGGGTTCGTTTAACTATTATACGTGATGTACGTTTTTTGGGAGGTGGTTAATGGAAGTGTTTCAAAACGCGACATTAATTTCTTGACAACCTAATATATTGTTACGACAGCGGAAGTCGCGTGACGCTGAGAGCATGCGCGCTGGAGTTTCTCGAATTATCGAGGAACCCCGCAAATGTCCGAGTGTTTGCTAGACGCCCTCTTTTTTTAGTATATAAGCCTGGCAAAGAAAGCCATCGAGGAGATAGATAATTGAGTCAAGCGAACGGTGGTGACGGTAATATAAAGTGTGTGTTTTGTTATCGAGATTGCAAACGTATTAACTGTGGAAATTCTGTGTACTAAAAAGTTGTATCGGGAAAGATTAAACTAGTTTTAATTAAGAAAGGACTTGTATCGCTGAAGTTCCTTGGAAAGAATTTATCCCGGAAATTAACAAAAGAGTAGATACATAACAATATATATATATATTTATATATAAGCATATAGATATATTCAAATGTGTCTGTTTAATGTTATGTGTAGTACCAAATGTTTTCTTTCTAATAAAAAAGTTTTGAAAATTCATGATGATACCAAACACCTACTAACACAATCGCTACCATGTGATCTAACCGTTTAGGTTTTTTTGATAACTTTGAGATATCTTTATTTCAGCAGTAAAATGTTTGTAATGGGTCGTCGATCAGAGATATCCCAATCGTGAACGATTCGTTTTTTAGGAACGACTCATTACGGTGAATCGTGATTCAGTCCCATTTGGTTTTATTTTTTTGATTCGTCTGATCAATGAAGTAACTAGCCTAATAATATATATATATATATACTCATAAAATTATTCGGAAACTCTTTCATTCTGGAATTTCCAACTCAAACCTATTCACAAAATTCAAATCAGAATAATAATTATATTGTTA